CTTGACTTCAAATAATATTACGATTAACGCTTTAAAAGCTGAGGAACGACATGAACTTCAGTTAATGTACAGTATTTCACATTGCTTTGCTATTTATTTAGCTAACAAGACTATATTTAAATTATAATCGGCTATTTTTCAAGGCAATTCATTCATTTTGCCGCTTTGCATGCGTAAACAGCCGTTTTGGGGCAATTTGACCCTTCCATTACTCGCTCAAACTCTTGAAATTTTGTATGGCCCAAAAATGTTATTTCACTTATCGAAAGATCAGTCCTTGCTGAAAATGTTGGTATAATGTTCATGTTCTAACTCAAGGTATCAGTGGCGATATATATGGATTTTAATCGGACATAGTCTATAGTTGCGTAAAACAAGCGACAAGTTAAAAAATCGATAAAATATTCAAATCTAGATCAAATTCGACTTTGAGAGCTGCTACTTGTACGTTAGTGTTTGTATTTCATGAAAAATAAGTTTAAATGTGCAGTACTTTTGATTTATCAGCGTAAACAAGCTCAATCTGAAGTAGTTTGTATCGCCCTAAAAATAGGCCCGTCAGCCGTGAGAACACCAATATCAACTTCTCGTTAAAAATATTTTTCGAATCAAAGTTAAACACATTTTTATATTATCAGGTCCAACTAACTTACATTTTGACAAAGTTTGAGCAATCTTGATTTTTCACGTTCTGCACGACATAGGCGATATTTACAGACAGCCTCTCTTAAAGCAAAAACATTATGATGCTGCTAAAACCTTAGTGAAAAGCGTATTAACAGCTGTCAAGGCTAAATCAGCTGCGATACATTATGAACAGCAAATCACTTTTGCATATTCTGTTGGAGCTCAAGTCGGGCAATGTGGACATTCCAGGAAAGTAGTCCCTGATCTTGTCAAGTGTTTGCTGCAAGTCATAAACGAGAAAACGAAAGAAGAATTGCTGAAATGCCTCCCAAGCACTGGATTTCCTCCATATTTTTACATGATGGCAGTCGATAAAGCTGCTGTAAACAAAAGAACCAATGAAGCAGTTGTTATTTGTCCAACGATCGATGGCAAGAAAGTTCCAATAGTTGTGGCTGCACCAGAAGTGTATAAACCAACCACAGATGGTGGTGTACAAGGAGGAAAGGCTGACGAATCAGCGTCGCGAGCACTAAAGCAAATTGAAACAAAATTTGGGAGCACAACATTGGATTATTTAGTTGGTAAGTATGTAATATTTTGCGGTATAGCATGTTCTATTTATAAAAGAAACAAGAGAGGCAATATTTTGTTGAATTTTGAGGTAGTAAGCGGAGTTTTTCCCTTACTGTGTTATTGGAATGAACCTATATAAATATGTAACTATTTTTAAATTTTGTTTTCAGGTATATCAGCAGATGGTGTCCACCAGGCGAATGGTTTCCAATCAACTATCAACGACAACAGTGAAAATTTGTTTCTAAAGCAGGTCGGTTGGGATGCCTCACATTGGATGAATCTTGCTGTAACTGATGTGAGGGATGGTAAGATTGGTTCATCCAAAGAATTCTTTTCAAAGTTTATTGAACGGACAAACAGATTTTCAGAAGTTCTGAATAGAGGAAAAGGTAGGTTCACCAAATGTTATTATAGCTGTATAGGTTTTTGTTTTCATTACATGTTGAAGAAGCTGCGAGCTGTCCCATTGATTTGCTTGAAAATTGCTTTAGTTCATTTGGTTACCTATTGACGAAGTTGCATGGCATTTCTGTTTTATATTGAAGGAAGGAGCACACTGGAAGCTGCAGCGAAGGAGCTTAAAGTTGCACCAACTGTTGCAACTACCTACTCGCAGACAAGATTTGCAAGTTCTGCTTTTGTTCAATGGGAAAGACTTGTTAAATCGTACAGATTATTTGCCACCGCCTTGAGAAATGCAGCACCTGCAATGACTGACGAGTTGCATCCATTGCAGTACCAAGTTCTGGGGCAGGTTAGAATATGATAACATATTATGCACAATCTCGCAACTGTTGCAATATTAATATTATATTTGTAGGATTTTGTTGTTGATCTATTACTGATGCATGATGTTTTTCAACCGGTTGCGAAAGTGATGACATTGCTGCAAAGTATTTCTCTTCCACCTTGGAAAACGTACCCATATGCTCAGAAATTGGCGAAATGGTTGCTTGATGCCTCCATGGAATGTCATGAATTTGGAACGAAAATATTGAGGTGTTATACGTTATTCCTAAATCCTAACCTATTTCGCGAACGCATTTTATTTTAGAGTTAGACATAGAGGGATAGCAAAAGGTGACCAGTTGGTATGCATGTTATACAGTAGTCATCTGTCATCGATCTAATGGTTAGTTACATTAATTGTTCAGCTAATTATAGTCATTTGTTTTTTTAATGTATGAGAACCTCCTGAATCATGATCCAGAGAGTGAAGATCCTGATGCGGAGAAACCAACATATGAAGGAATCGAGCTTAAATGTGGATGGAAAGTTATTGGAACTGAAAATTTAGCAACCAGTAATGCCAAAAGTAAGCAAGTTCTGACAAACTGGGTCGAGCGCACCATTGAAGATTCTTTCAAGGAAGTCAGCACATTTGCAAGTGATCTATCTGCATCATTTCAAAACCACATTGAGACCTGTGGGGTAACCGAGGAAGTTGGAAAGGCAAACTTCTTTGACATTGAAGAAACATTTCAACTTCTTTGTGGAGAAAGACTGTTAAACGATCATGTTAGAGTGAGAGAAGGTGATCTGGAAGTGTTTGGAGCTGCAAGCTTTGAGTTATTTTTCCAAGAAGTTTGCAACCTAAGCCACATCAAAGCCAAAGACGATGAGCTCTTTGACGAAAGACTCTCTCGAAATGTGCTACGTCAATGGAAAAGTGCAATCAGGCATTTAGTGTGGGAGAAAGCAATGAAAAATTTGCTTTTATCTTGTCTGAAACCGGTGAATGATAACGGCATTACCACTGCAGTAACAACTAATCCGAGGCTAAATTAGAAAAGATGGAAACAGTAGCACAAGAAGATTGTAAACTCAATCTTCATCCGTTATTCGCATTGAAATTTACAAGTCATGCATCATTCCAATGTTTTGTTGACGAATCAAAGGTAGCGTCTCTGTTGTACACAAATGAAATCTTGTATGACAAAGCAGGAAGCGTGGCAATGACCGCATTTGACATTGCTACATCCATTGGGGGATCTGAAGCAATTGTTGAAAGTTTCTACAGTGTTATGGACACTCAACGACAAGTGCGCCAGCTGCATACCACTTTGGAAAACCGAACCATACTTGACTGGGCTACAAGCAACGTGCTAAATCTTGAAGATGTTATTTCAAAGGCCGCTAAACTTTACGTTGATGGATCATCATCATTGAAACTACCACATCATCATGTCGGGGTAATGAAGAAAAAGACAGAGAAGTCATACAAGGCTAGTCAGGTTCTGACGCGAATGAAGTCGGAAAAGGGACGCTATTCATTCCTGTCATGAAAAGTAATGAATCATTAAAGATTTGTTGGCTGCTAACATTTTAATTATGTACCAAACTTTTAACGACACTTTGAACGGTCAAATCCTCTACGGATAAATTTGACACTTCAGATTTAACAAGTTCACATTATTGGATTTTTACAATATTATTGGATAAATTATTAGATGTTTAAAATCATTCATTTGATGAAATCTTTAAAACACTATTGTTGTAGTTTAGATAACAAAGAAAAACATTTGCGTACGTTATCTACATATTTTTTAATATCTACTAGTACTCTGGTGTATAACAACTAAATAATTGGCAAATTTGCCAAATTCAGAAATTCTGACCTTCGTTGCTAGTACACACTTGTTATCCTCCCCCCCTCCCCCCACGAAATCGAACGTGCACAGGTCATGAGCCCGCTGGCCATGTGCACAACATGTGGTGCACAACGAAAATTGCGTTTAAATTGTGCGGTGCACAGAAATGTTACATTCCATACTGGCCTTATTGAGAAAACAATTCTTACTTCAAGAAAATATTTGTTGAAATGAGAAACTAATTTTCTTAATTAGAAAACGGATTTTCAAAATGAGAAGTACTTGATTTGCAAGATTAATAATAAATTATTTTTACTTAAATTTTCTCGAAGAACGAAAATAAATTTGTTAAAATTTAAATATAACATCTTTTGCAATTTTTGCATATTTTTTTCCAAAATGATATATTTTCCTCAATACTGGTATTCTTTTAACAAGATGTCAAATGTCATCCTGGATTTAGTTTCTATATGGGTTAGTATATTCACATTACTGTAATTGGCTTTTTTCAAAAGAGATCACAGTGCATATTCTGGGGTCATTTGGAGGGACAAAATATATGGAGACATGCATCAAATATGTGAAAGAGTAGAAGTATCTAGTATCAAATATCAACTTTTTACACGACCAAAAATGAAATATTTTCTTTTTACATTAAACTTTAATTTAAACGTGTGCTATATTTCTTGTCCCTCCAACAAGGGATTTGTGCTAGACCCAGGACTTTGGGAAATAGCTAAATAAATATACAAATTCTCTTCTATCATATTTATCTTTGTTAATTAATTTGTTTTTAAAGTAAGTTTGGGACAAAAATATTGTGTTTTATTGATATTAAAATGCTACATTTGCCCAGCTAAGGTGGCCACCCAGGCCATACAAATCAGTCTCGATCTTATAAACAGCCCCTACAAAAATTTAGTAACTAGTAACAACATAATTATACACATGAATCATGTGATTTAAGGCCTGTTAACACTGACACTGTGCTCAATTTTGGTACCTGTAACATGTTTACCATGCTTGGACTACCTATTCATGCAGGCCGAGCACAGATAAATTTGGTACAGGCACCAGTTTTATCTGTGCCGTACCAAAACTTTTTATCAGTACAGTTTTATCTGTGCTGTACAACAGGGGCCGGTTGTTCAGTCTGCCGGTTGTGGGTTAGTGCTAATCCTGGGTTAAATTTAACCTGCTGTTTTAGTTTGTGTATTTCTACAAGTCTGTTTGTTTCAAAACTTCAAAAAAATAAACTCCTGTCGATCTAGACAAGATATCTGAAGAAAAATTTTCAAATTTATAGGCAAGCTGTCAGGAAGTTTGGATTGAATTTTAGGTTAACCTAGGATTAAGCTACTGTAACCCAGCTTTGAACAACCGGCCCCAGGGCTTTAGTTCTTTTGTGCTTTAATAATCTAGATTATGCCAGAATGTGCAATAGCCAATTTTCTGTCATGAATGAGTCACTACAGTATGGTACAGGTAGAGCTGTCCATAGGCCTGCAATAATGCAGGGGGAGGGGCTGTAGCTGGACCCATTGACCTGCAATTTGGCCTAATGCGCTCTGTCTTGTTAAATTAATGTACTCTGTCTTGTTAATTTACTCTGTCTGATACCAAACAATTTTAACTATATTTCCATGCTTCATACTAAGTCCCAAAAAGAAATGCCTGGGTTTCTATTTTTCATATGCAAAAATAATATCTCATATAAAAAGATTAGGGTTGGTGATTTCTTTGGCCTAACTCATTAGTAAGCCCTAATGGCTCATGTAATATACTTTACAAAAATAGTATTAAATCAAATGTAACCTAGTAGATGGTTAATTAAGCCAATATATATCTGGTAACCCATTAGACATGGCTACCATAAGGGAATCCCCTATTTGGCCTAACACTATCTAGATTATTCTTGCTGTCTCAATGCCAATTAAATCTAAAACATATTAAATAAATCTGATTTTATCAATTCCTATTTTTTCAGCTTTTGGTCTGGATGATACAATCTATGGAAAGACAGCTGCTATGCAGTACAAGGTACAGGACAAATGCTGTGGGGCTTGAAGAGGAGTAACTAAAAGCAAACCAGCTGAGTGAGACCTGACATTAACAATTAATGACTTTTAGGTACTCATTATTTACTTCTGGCCATATATATAAATAAAATTATATAATATTAGGAAATTTTAAATAAGTGTAGGTTATAATAGTATAAAGTGTAATTACTCTGCCCCCAGGGGCCGGTTGTTCAATGCCGGACTAGCGCTAACCCTGGGTTAAAATTTAGCCTGCTGTTTTAGTTTGTGTATTTCTACTGCACACGTCTGTTTATTTTAAATTAAACTTCAGAGAAGAAAACTTGTATAGATCCAGACAAGATCTCTGAAGAAATATTTCCACATTTATAGACAAGCTGTCAGGTTAACCTAGGGTTAAGCTAATCCAGCCTTATGTACAGTGCATAATTATATGTGTAACCTATAATGATATATTTACTAATAAATACATTTAATATTCTGATCTAGTATTTCTTCATATTAAATTATTACGGCTTCAAGTGAACATGAAAACTTGACATGACATGACAACTGCAACTTGATGTTGCAGAAGTAAGAGGAAATAGTTTTATGCAAGAAATAAAACTCACTTGGTGGCAATTATGTGACATATCTGCTTGGTAGATAATATACAGATAATTTTATCTGTAGGGAAACTATACTGTCACATAACTGTGACAGATATGTTATTGGGCCAAATTCCTATATGTTGCAGATATGTGACAGATATCTGTCATATAACTGTGACAGATATCTGCCACATAACTGTGACAGATATCTGTCACATAACTGTGACAGATATCTGTCACATAACTGTGACAGATATGTTATGGGGCCAAATTCCTATATGTTGCAGATATGTGACAGATACTTTCGTACATATATTTTGCAGATATTTTACAGAACTGTGACATATATCTGCCACATATCTGTCAGTTTGGTAAGGGAAAGGTCTTGTTGTTGCGGGACATTCCAACATTACGTACTTTATTGTTCGTCTTTAACTATATTTTTTTGGAGCAAAGCAATTTGCTAGTCCTTTAGGGTAAAACTGACTCAACAGTATAGTGAATTTGAATGCTTATGATGGAAGGGGTGGGGTAGGATTTATTCAGTAGCATGATCATGTGACTGTAGTAGTCCAGGAGGAGAAGGGGGGGTATCGTAACCCGAGCAGGGAATTTATGAGAATATGCGACTTTGGTCAATTTTGGGGCGCTGATTTCAAAAATCGATGTTATACGGGCCAATACCGGGGCCTTCAGCCTCGTTTTGATGATACAGCCTCGTTTTGGGGCATACATAGGGAACACGTTAGTTGTCTTAATTAGCTAGGGAAACCAGTGATTTTGGTCAATTTCGGTGCACTGATTTCAAAAATCAATGTTACACGGGCAAATACCGAGGCCTTCAGCCTCGTTTTGGTGCATGCAGCCTCGTTGTGGTGCAAATAGAGGGAAATCATTACCATAGATAAGAAAAGTCGTTGGTGATCTTGGTCAATTTCGGTGCGCTGATTTCAAAAATCGACGTTACACAGCAAAATACCGAGGCCTCGTTTTGGTGCATGCAGCCTTGTTTTGGTTGTGTTTCTATCTCTCCTGATAAAGTTATAAATCTTAACAGCAATGACTTAGTTATCATAGAAATTATATCAAGATAAGATGATGTGTGATCTGTATGTTTGGCTAAAACCAATGTTCAGTTTCTGTGGTGCGTTTGTTTGCGAACAATTCGACCCAAATGAAGTATGCCTTCACATCAGAAGTTCTCGCGTTCGGAACTTATTCGTCTTCATTCCAAGACCTTACAAGTTAGCCGTAATGTTGTTTCGCTGCTCAAAGCATTTAATATCTTCAAGCACCAGAGAGGAAAGAGAGGTGGTAGACGAAAGAAAGTTGAACAAGAACTCTCTAGAATCCCAGTTCGTATTACATGGCGATCAGCAAACAAAATCAATCACACGGAACAAAGGCCTGGGGCTCTTACAAGCATTCCGTGGAAAGTTAACTCAAATGTAAGAGCCAGGTACGATTTCCCAAACATTCTGTGCTCAAATTCAAGATCTATTATGAGTAAAATTGACGAACTTGACGAAATCATGAAAGTGTATTCGATTGATATTACTGCAATTACTGAATCTTGGTTAAGTGAATCTATTAGTGATGATTATGTAACGTTGGTAGACTATAATATCTATCGATGTGACCGAGTTGGGCGATTAGGAGGTGGAATTTGTGCCTGGGTAAAGTCCGATATTCAACAACAACAAATTTCTCAACACCAGTGTGATGATTATGAGAGCATGTGGCTCAAAGTTCGCCCTAGAAAGCTCCCTCGTGGGTTTTCATCGATTTTAGTAGGAATTGTTTACCGACCAAATAATACGAAAGATGCAAATTTACTTGAACAGCATATAATAGAAGTCACAGACAATTATTTGATCCGTTACCCGGACGCCGGTGTTATTATTATGGGCGATTTTAATCGTATGAATGTAAAATCTATTGAAAGAAAGCTTCATTTAAAACAAGTTGTCAACTGTCCAACGCGTAATGACGTTACACTTGACCTTATTTTAACAAATATTTCAGAATTTTACACGGCACCTCAGCAACTCCCTCCGTTGGGGAGATCAGACCATTGTTCAATCTTATTTTCCCCCCAGGATTATATTGCTCCTAAGGGACTGAACAAGATTATCTATAGGCGGAAGCTAAATCGGGAAAATCTGCATAAGCTATCATTATGCTTGGAGAAACAGAACTGGTGTGAAGTTTACAGAGCTGACTCTGTTGTAAATAAGATGTCAGTGTTTTATAATAAAGTTATCACTGCTCTTGACAAGTTTATGCCCACCAAACCTTGCCGTTTAAACACCAACGACAAACCATGGATGACCAGTTACATCAAGAACCTCATTGTTAAACATCAACGTGCTTGGAAGAAAGGCAATGTCCCACTTCGTAACTTTTTCCGAAACAAAGTGTCTAAAGAGATTAAGCTCGCCATGGGCAATCATTATAGGTATAATCTAGATAACACAAGGTCCTGCAACCCCAGAAAATGGTGGAAGGGTGTTAAAGCAATAACTAGGCAGAAACCAAACAAGATTCCTGATAAGTTAAGATTTGGTGGTCATGAAGCAACTGGGGTTGAATTAACAGAACTAATTAATAGTGTGTTTCTGCGGATTGTTGACGAATATCAGCCCCTGGAACCAGTACCTACCCCTCCAGATCTTATAGTCCCTGATAATTTCTTGCTATCAACTTGTCAAGTGTCCCGAAAACTGTTTAACCTTAATGCCAAGAAGTCCTGTGGTCCTGAACCTATCCCTACCATTGTGTTAAAGAACTTGAGCACAATTTTAGCCCCACCTTTAACTAATATCTTTAATTCTTGTTTAATGGAAGGTCTTTTTCCATCTGAATGGAAGAGTGCTGATGTCTGCCCAGCCCCCAAGAAAACCAAAGTTGTTGATATAGAGAATGATTTAAGACCCATATCACTTACCTCACCAGTAGCGAAAGTCTATGAGAGTCATCTTAACTCACTACTACTTGATCATGTTGGCCCCAAATTGGATGATCGCCATTTCGGATCTGTTAAAGGTTCGTCCACAACCTGTGCATTGGTGGATCTCATGAACTTTCTATATTCCAATACCGACAACCCAAACGATGCAATTAGACTCTGTTTTTATGACTTGAGTAAAGGCTTTGATGGAGTGGATCATAACATCTTATTGGATATCCTGAGAGAATTGGATGTCCATCCTGTTCTAATTCAGAGTATTCGTAGTTTCTTGACAGGAAGGCACCAAAGAGTGTGTGTCAACGGTTTTTCATCTGAATGGAAACCGGTACCAGCTGGAATTCCGCAGGGTAGTGTTTTAGGACCTACTCTTTTTCTATTAATGGTAAACGCTCTGGCTTACAGAGAATCGTGGAGATGGAAGTATATGGACGACCTGACTATTAGTGAGACCCTTCATATTGTGAATAACTTGTGCTCTAGTAATCTCCAACAAAGCTCGAATGATATTTGTGAATTTGTACACGAAAAGAAAATGATGCTGAGAATGTTTGTCTGTTTCAAAAGAGTACCTCCAGTGATTGATAATATTACCATCAACAACGTCCCAATTGAAAGGGTATCTACCTATAAATTACTTGGGGTTAATCTGTCATCAAATCTTAAGTGGAATGAGCATGTCAATATGATAACAAAGAAAGCTGCGAAGCGTATTTACTCTGTGAGACTTCTGAAAAGGGCGGGCATTGCAGATACGGACTTGGTCACTTTCTACTCAACGTGCGTAAGAACAGTATTGGAGTATGCTTGCCCTGCATGGTTTTACAGTACTACTGAATACCTTAGAGAACAAATTGAATCCATCCAACGCAGGATCATGCGAATAATTTTCCCTGATACTAGTTACCAAGAAGCCTTAGATCTTGCTGGCATCCCTCGGCTATGTGTGAGATTGGAAGACCTGTGTGACATGTTTTTCTCCAACATCATGAAGGAAAACCATAAACTACATGACCTTTTACCACCTACTTACCAAACTCATTATAATACCAGGTCCCAGGCCTCTGGAATACAATTCCAGTTGCCAACATATAAAACTAATAGATCTCGAAACAATTTTATTGTCAAATCTGCTGTGAAATGGAACAATACGATTAGGAAGAACATAGGGAATGTATAGCCCTACATATTTTTAAAATGATGACTTTTTAGAATTTAGTGTAAATAATTCAGTATATACTATACAGTATTCTTAGTTTTGATGTTTGTAGTTGTTTCCCCTTTTACCTTTCTAACGCAACATTGTAATGGGTAAATTTAATTTAGTCTTTGACTACGATTTGCTCAAATTAAAGCTATTATTATTATTATTATTAAATATCGGGCAGTTGCTACCCCCCACAAGCTTGCAAACGTAGTTAGCTATTAATGCAATAGTGAAACTCTGTGGGGAGATATCGTGTTCTATTTAGGTCTGCATAAAGTACGAGCCATGTGCGGCACCAAAAACGTACGAGTCACACATGAATACTGCATGTACAGAGCAATGTTTCGCAGAAACGTTTGAAAGGACGATTAAAATACGGTGACCACACCATTGACTTTGCCTCATATAAACTTTAATATCTTAGAATCCAAGCATACATTCCCTAATAGACAAAACTGATAACAATTCTGGACCACACACTATACTTTTAAGAAAGGAACTCAAGAAACATTAATTGTATATTCATGATTTCCTTAGTTGTATTATATAAAGCATAGTTATAATTTCAGATTTAATGCCACTGGCTTAAGTGTAGATCTTTCAACAATCCT